CATTTCATTCTTTAGAGGATGCAGCCTTGGGTAAGCATAGTCGCCTGGGTGAATTTTAATAGGCCTTTCTCAGAATATTTTCCTGATTTCTGTTAAACCTATCTGCTTTATTTGGCCTCACACATTAGCTCCAATTGCCAGTTGATAGTCATTTCTGATGGTGCCCTGCGGCACAAATTGCTCTGTAGTCTGATCCAATTAGATTTGGTTGGCTCTTTTGGAGGTGGTAGGAGGTTAGCCTTTGAGGCTTGTATGACTGTAGGAGGGCTTTTCCTGCCTCTTTGCCTGGTTGTCAGTTAATTTGGCTTGTTGCTTTAAGGAGCCTCCAGCCTCCTAATTGCTAACGACTAAATTCCATTGTTTTTGAGAGCACCCTGTCTTGACCTTTCCTACACTCTTCCAAACCAGATCCTTTGGGAAGAGCTTGAGAGCTCTTATTTCTTCTAGGCTGCCTCTACCCAGGGGGAAATTTGGGAGGAGTCACTCTTCTGGAGCTCAGCGTGGCTGCTTCTCTCTGATTGATAGGCCAACTTTATGAGTAGAGCTCAATAATTATGGAAGCCACTAATCATCTTGTGTTGGCACTTCTGGCACAGAAACCTCACCCTATCAGCAAGCCAGCAAGAGGCACTCAGGGTCCTGGTATTCTTGGCCAGCTGTGCCTGGGGTAGAGTCTCTATCCTACGAGTGGGAACTGGTTGAGAAAAGGGAGTCCTGACCTCTTGGCTGCATATATTTGGAATTTAGCCTTTGCAACACAAAGCTAGAGGGGCCTGAGAACTACTGGCAACCTGCCCCTCCCTTACAGATACCATATCCTTGATAGGGAAGAGGGAGCATTGTCTTCTTGGCTATACCCGCTCAGAGTGGAGTTATGGTAGCACTGAGCTATGTGTGTGGGTTGGGGAGGGGAAGTGCAGGAAGAGAATAGGTTGTGGCATAAATGCCACAAACTTAAAAGTTCTTACAGACTTGGGTTTTCTAGAATGTTTCATTTGTTGTATGCCCTTAGGACCACATGGACTTTAAATGGTTATTTTAAAAAAATTTTTTTTTCAGCTGTTACATCAGTTATGGAGGGGAGCTGGTCCCAGGTCCTCATGTAGCCATTCCAGAAGTCAGGTCTATTTATTAATATTGTAGTTTGCTCACCAAAAATAGTTTAAAGCAAGGAAACTTTATTCATATCCCTTAGGATATTAAAAATAAAACTTTTATAATCTCAAAACCCAAAATACTATGAATTTAGAAAATAATAAAAATTCTCAAAAGATTTTTAAAGCTTAATTATAATTGCTATTTTTGTTTGTCTACAAATCAGTGTTTGCTTTTTATTTTTCTTTCACATCAAGGACTGTATTTTATACATAATGTACTAAGCCATAATGCCCAGAAATACAAGACACCATCAGACAAGAGCAATGCTCTTCACTCATTGTCATCCAATGCACTCTGCAATATTAGAGAGTAATTAATAACCAAACAAGCCCATCTGTTCACTTTTTCTCCTTTAAATGCTACTCAAGGCTGGTTATCTTTTTAAAATTCTGGAACACAAATTAAGTTTTCTTTTACAGATCATGAGGACTTTTAAATACATTACTTTATGTCACTTACTCGTGGTTTTATAAAAGCCACAGGTGTGGGGTATTGTGTATGTGTGTACAATTTTTTTGATAACTCAAGTGGTCGGAGAATATTAATTTAACCTAAAAAAGTCCATTCAAGTGAAACTTTTATTTGCCTTCACCATTATTATTATACTGCTAAGAAAGGGATTACACAAATTATAAAGGAAAATAATTTCATGTACTTGGATTTCCAAGTAAAAAGTTGTGCTAGTAATTTTAGACACCACTGTTTTGTTTTGTTTTTACTTCAATGGCAGAAATATTTTTAGCACACATAACAGGTATAACAATTAGTAAACATTTAAATTATTTTACAAATTTTCAAAACTTCTGTAATTTAGAATTTGACAGTTCAAACTATGCAGCAGTTCAAAGTAAAGTTTATATTTGTATTATAAGCAAGTATAAATAGTGGCAACTAATTCTATCCCAATCCCAATACTCAATTTAAAGAATCTAACCAGAATTGATTAAATGTAAACAGCAAATAAAGAACAGATGACCACTGCCAGCAATATTTTACAAGGAAATTTCTTCAGGGTTTAGAGGTTGAGCTAGTGTTCAATGATTTCTAAGTCCCTTCTATTCTAAAATTCTAGTTTCCCTAGCAGTTCTATTAAGAAACAATTATTTCTTCTCACCATTAATTATAGCTAGATTATGTCACAGACAGGTGGATATTTTAGTGCGTTGCTATATGTTAAAATAAATGTTGCCTTTGAGAATATGCTGCAGTTCACAAGTCCTCTCCCACTTTGTTTCAGATTGAGATCTTGTCCCTGTTTTAGAATGAGTTTCACTATGTTTGAACAGGACCTATTTTAGCCTAAATGTTATCCTTTTCTTGGCAATGTTATAAATAATAGACAAAATGAATTTTTAAAACATTCAACAAATGTTACATCTCAAATTCAGAAATAAGCACCTGTACCTCAAAATCCCCATGTTAAACTAAGACATATTATTTATATGCGAACGGTTGGTATACATGTTTCTTGCTCAGTTCTCTCGAAGCATGGATGTATGTCTGTCATGAAAAGAAAATAGCTTCAGGTTAAATCATAATGCTAAGATGCTTAGTAATTATTATCATCACTTTTACAATTCAATGTTGGATTCTTGATTCTGGACACACACACATGCCCACACATGCCCACGTGTATGTATACACACACACACACACACTTTCTTTTATGTAAACAACAATTTATATAAAAACAAAATATTTTTCTACATATCCTCCAAAATTGCTAGAGAGATGAAATGGAGACTTTACAATTGGAAAATGTTGTGATTCATTAGAATTAGTTCTAAATATTATCAGACTAAATAGCTTCAAGTAATCTTTGAATCAAAATGTTCTGTTTTTGAAATACTGGTTCATCACAAATCAAATCTCCATGAATCAAAGTACTATCCATTGGCAGCTTTGCAGTGAATTACACTGAAAAATAGGTCTACAAGAACACTTTGAACATCATTTTTAATACTGCCTTAAAAGGTCCGTTACTCTTCAACTATCTCAGTGTACTTTGAAATTTAAAATAATTATAGTTGAAACTGTTACTTTAAATCTAAGTAGGTACCTGTTATGGCAGTATTTCTTTACTCAGAACATATTTCATTTCAAATATATGCAAAATTTATCACAGTAAGAATACAATTCACAGTTTGAACAGAAACCTCAGTGTTGAAATCTCAACATTCAGGAAAATAAACACTACATATTAAGTTACTTTTGAATACAAATCATTTAAGTGAGATATAATTTCTAATTTGTGATAAAGTGAAGAAATCACTTTTTATGTGATCTTGACCAAAATCAATTAGTCAAGTTCAAGATTACCTACCATATTATGGCCCGGTCAGTGTGGTACAGTAGCTGAACATTGACCCATGAACCCGAGTCATGGTTCGATTCCCCGTCAGGGTTGTGAGCTTGAAGCGTGCAGGAGGCAGCCAACTGATTCTCTCTCGTCGATGTTTCTATCTCTCTCTCACTCTCTATTCCTCCCTCTGAAATCAATAAAAACATATTTTAAAAAAATTACATTATGGTACAAATCAAACTTTACTGACATGGATCAGAACTATTTTTATTACTTCACTGATAACAAGGCTTCCTGTTTGTTAAGAGTGTTTCTTTCACTGCAGATATACTTTTAATTTTATAATGCTAAACAATGGGGCAAAAAAGAGGGGCCCACTTTTAAAATATCCACTCTTCATTTTCTGATTTTAAGATATCCCATCTTTTTTTAATGCATTGGCTTGTCAATTTATCTTTAAGATAAATGAAACTTCTATCTTTACAAGTAAGAATGTGTGAATAAGATTATATACAGTTAAACCTCATTTCTCAACCATATCCCATCTCAGAACAATTTGGTTCTAGACTAAGTCATTCACAGAAAAACAAAAACTTCAGTTTTTTGACCGCCAACTCTTTCATGATGAAGTATCAACATAACAAAAAGCTTCTCAAAGGCAACAAGCAAAGGGGAGAATGCGTTTGTTGCTGGCAATTAGCACAATTTTAATATATAAAGATGCCATTCAGAGTGCTAATGTAGCTAAGAGTGTGAAAGTGCTCACAAAACAGCAATCACAGGAATTGAATAGGTAGAAAAACTGTTGTTGATTGGATAAAGGAAAAGAAGTTAGCAGTGATAGCATTCTGAAGGCAGAGATGTATGAAAAATTCCTTTAAGGCTAATAGGGGTGGTTCCATTAATTTATTTATAAATTAATCAGTACATTAGCCATGTACTGTATATAAGAAAGGTTGAAACAGGGAATCCTTTGGGGGTCTGGGATGAATTAATTCAATTAATTCTAATGGGAAAAAATGATTCTGTTTTCAAACAAATCACTTTTCTCAAACAGCCTTCTGGAAAGAATTAAGCTTGAGAAACGAGGTTCCACTATATTCTGAGAAGTTATGTCCCATGATCTAACCCATACTTCCGATTTAAAATATAACTAAGCTCTCTCAATAAACTAATTTTAAATTTTCAATTAGAATCATCCTTATTGTACTGTTCTCATTTTCTTTCCCTTTTATTTTTATATTATTTCTATAAATGCTCAAATTAAAAAACAAAAACCCTCAGTCTTGAAACCAACTTATATTGGAGCTCTGAGGTTAGTTTGTAACTTTCAAAATACTTGTTAAAAGGTATAAACCCCGAAATTACAAACCAAAGAATTAACAATTTTATAGTATATATCTAATTTATTTAAAAAAATATTCTGAATTGTTTTTATACAAGTAATCAAGTGCTATTTTTTCAAATGAAACTCCTTTATAGGCTAGAAGAGGGTATGTGGTATTGCCCCATTAAAAACCAATACAAATTTCATTTTTTTCTATACTGGTACTTCAACTATTTCAAAATAATTTTCTGGGAGAAACACAAAACCTCTCTCTGGGACGTCTTTCTCTTTCTGGAAGTGCATGGCCTCCTTTAACTTTTCAAGCTGTCGTTCTTGTCTTCTGCATCGTTGCTGTGCAGTCTTGAGCTTCTTTCTGAGTTTTTCAACTTGCAGTTCTAGCTCTTGAATCCTTTTTCTCTGGTGCATTGTATCCTCCACAGTATAGTTGTGGTCACAGAAAACTGAGAGATTATCAGGGGTCTGAAGAGGAGGCATTAGTAATCCAATGGCAGCATCCACCTGGGAAATGGGAGGCTTTAGAGGAGGTGGGGAAGGCTGTTCTTGTGGTTCCACATCTTCCTTCTAAAACAATAATGCAAAGTATGTTTGAATTTAATAACTAGAAACAACATTTTAAAACAATTTACCTGTGGAATTTAAGAATATTAAACTTTTTTTTTTTTAAATGGAGACCAGCAAAAAAAAATAATTCCAAAATGAGAAAATACTTTGTTTCAATTATATTTTTCTACCTGAAGTACAAATGAGATAAAAGGATGAGGCAGAATGATTAATCAAATTTAATGAATTACTGAGTATTTAAAATTGAGGGGGAAAATACTTTGAAAATGAACTGTCATTTATTAAAAAAAAAAATACTGATCACTATACAAAGTAGGGGAACAGAGTAATTGTAAAATAAATTACAAAGCTTGATTGAGTTTCTTAGTGTGAGGATATTTAACTTTGATAAACTATATTTTGTATTTTTAAAAAATATTACTGTTGCCCTAGCTGGTTTGGCTCAATGGATAGAGCAGACTGAAGGGTCCCAGGTTTGATTCTGGCCAAGGGCACATGCCTAGATTGCTGGCTTGGTCCCCAGTAGGGGGCATGCAGGAGGCAGCCAATCAATAATCCTCTCTCATCATTGATGTTTCTCTCTCTCCCTCTTCCTTCTCTAAAATCAGTAAAATATATATTTATTTTTTAAAAGTATTTTACTGTTAACAGTGGTTATTTATAAGGAATAGGTTCCAGGTAACATTTATTTTCTTAAGACTACTCTGAATTTTCTACAATAAATACATTACTTTTTAAAATGGGGAGGAAATCCAATATTTTAAAACACACATTACCTTGTCACGTGGTTCAGTACAAAGAAAAATTGTGGGTACAGCATTCTCTTTCAGTAACTTGTTGTTGCACTCCCTCTTAAAGCAATCTGGAGTAAAGTGTTCCGAACAAATGCTGCTATACTTGGTGGGTTTAAAGTTTTTTCTTCTGATAGCTGCCTCCCATTCTTTACAAAGATTGGGTCGAGTAAGAGGAAACCTAAGAAAATGAAATAATTCAATCCTCTGACTTTATTTTTTTATTTTTTTAAAAGGCACATCCAAACTTTCTGCTTAGGAAAGAAACATCTAACACACTAAGAAATATTTCATTAAAACACTAGTTCTGCTTTTTTTGGTTTGTTATTAGTTGTGCCTTTATTCACCTTGGTTCATTTAAAATGTGTTTGTTTTAAATATCTGATACAGTGACCACTCACTAATGTGGGTTATAAGTCACCCCTCCCAACATGGTATTTAAAAAAAAAAGAAGTATTTCTTGCCAAAACCAGTTTGGCTCAGTGGATAGAGTATCAGTCTGAGGACTGGAAGGTCCAGGATTCGGTTCTGGTCAAGGGCATGTACTTTGGTTGTGGGCACATCCCCAGTGGGGGGCGTGCAGGGGGCAGCTGATTGATGACTCTCTCTCATCGATGTTTGTAACTATCTCTCTCCCTTCCTCTCTGTAAAAAAAATCAAATATATATATATATATATATATATATATATATATATATAGATAAGTATCTCTTATAGAAATCTTACTGATCACACAATAATTCTAAGAATATCAGATATTAGTAATGATAGGCCAATTAAAAATTTACAGAATGTGCCAAAGCCGGTTTGGCTCAGTGGTAGAGCGTCGGTCTGCGGACTGAAAGGTCCCAGGTTCGATTCCGGTCAAGGGCATGTACATTGGTTGCGGGCACATCCCCAGTAGGGGGTGTGCAAGAGGCAGCTGGTCGATGTTTCTCTCTCATCGATGTTTCTAGCTCTTTATCCCTCTTCCTTCCTCTCTGTGAAAAATCAATAAAATATATTAAAAAAAAAAATTTACAGAATGTAAAAATATATGGATTAAAAGTTAGCCATGCCTAGCTGCTTTGGCTCAGTGGATAGAGCATCGGCCTGCAGAGTGAAGGTTCTGGGTTCGATTCCAGTCAAGGCCACATGCCTGGGTTGCAGGCTCAATCCCCAGCAGGGGGTGTGCAGGAGGCAGCAGATCAATGATTCTCACATCATTGATGTTTCTCTCTCTCTCTCTCCCCTCTCCTTTCATATCTGAAATCAGTAACAATATATTTTTTAAAAAATTTAGCCATGCTGATGGGTGTATGCAATGGGAAGGGTAGCTGAAGAAAGGTTTGGGGTGGAGGGTCCAAATGTGTAGTATTTGTCCCCCCTCCATTACAGTAAATAACTCTCACTAACCGACACAGGTATTCCATACACATCTACACACACAAGGGTAAATCATGTAACTCTCTAGTCTCTCATTTATTGATTTTTTTATACTGAAGACACAAAATTTCAAGTAAAATGCAAACTGTAGGATGATTTGTATTATTTTTTTTACCAGTGATTTTCTGTTCACTGTACAGCAAAATCGCATCTTTATATCTACAGACTGAGAAAAAGAAGATTCTAGTTCTTGAAAAAGTCTGACAAATAAGAATCAAATTATATTAAATCACTATAATGAATAAAAGATTATTTTGATTTACCTCTTAACCTACTGAAATATGCCCATTAAGCCCAGATAAAGGGTCGTAATAAGAGTTTAAATTTATTGTGATTTCCCCTCCCCAGTTTCTCTTCCATGGAAGGAATGCTGGAGCCTCACTCTGTTATTGACATGAAGATCTAGTGGACCCTATGACAGTCCCTTTGTCCAACATAGCTCTTCCCACGGCCACCGTGTGGAAGCTGGGGAAAGTAGTATTCCTCAAAGACCCTGCTGGAAGTGGCTTCTAGAAGTTCAAACATGGTAACAATCACGGGTAAACTTCAACACCAAGGGTTACAAGTGCTCAGGTTGTTTGTGAGGTTCAGTCAAGATCTTTCCCATCTGAGCCAAAAAAAACTGTTCTTTCATATAAAGGATGAGATGTAGGTTTACTCCTTTCGATTCAATGAACTGTTTAACGGCCAGCAGAAACTCAGTATCTCTGATGTGTGAACATCATCCTTAACCAGGCTCCCGGTGCCCGTGAAGGGTTTTCCATATTTTTAGATTCCTTCTGCCATGTCATTAGAACTACCATCTTCTGACCGATTCCTAAACTGGAGAGATTGTCAATTCATCAGCTTCCGGAAATCCCAGTAAGTGATATTTAAGGATACACTGGACTGAATCCTAGAAGTGTTGTGTTCTATTTCCTTCTCAGAAGAGGGAAACATCAACACTCAAGATCTATGTATGGTCCTTCTCATACCAGATAAAAAAAAATATAAAAATGCATCTACATCTGCTGTTGAACATAAATGACCCCCACCAAAACAAAAACAAAACCTGAAAGAATATTTAACATTTTGCTTGTTTAATCATTTAGCTATGAAAAAAATCACCTAACTTACCACCGGTTTTAATTACTTAGCTATCAACCTTTATAGTCAGCAATTTTTGCAAAAAACCAAAAACGTTTTAACGTGAATGTAATAAAATTTGAAAATATGGTACTGACTCTGGCTGAAATAAAATGCCATCAGGTCACACTCTGCAGATATTTCATTATCATTAAGTCGTTTCCACTTTGGTAAGTTATGTTTTATTTTCAAGAGAACATGTTTCTCCCACGACTTTGACTGCAGCACGCTGGGGAGAAAAGGGTCCTGAAAGGTGTGGGCAGGTCCTTCTCTGGGCTCCTGAGGCGGCTCAGACTGGCCTTGACTGCGGCATGGACCGCGGTCCGAACGATCGCTGTCCACGTTACCACCGCTGTGGACTGAAAGCATGAACTGCTGCTGTGCACACAAAACAAACTACTCATCGCAGCAGTAAAACTTAAGAGGCCCTTCCAGGCTGTTCCTAGAAATTGGGACACACCCATCCTCCCTGAAATCCTGGCCAAAAACCAATCCTTAATGATGCTGGCCTCCCATGCACGGGGGGGAAAAAAAAAAAAAAAAAAGTCCTCCCCCACCCTTTTTAAAAATATATATTTTATTGATTTTTCACAGAGAGGAAGAGAGAGGGACAGAGAGCCAGAAACATTGATGAGAGAGAGTCACTGACCAGCTGCCTCCTGCACACCCCCCACTGGGGATGCGCCCGCAACCAAGGCACATGCCCCTTGACCGGAACCGAACCCGGGACCCCCCAGTCCGCAAGCCGACGCTCTATCCACTGAGCCAAACCGGTGCCGGCAAGGTCCCCCCTTTTTTTTAAATTCCAAATTTACTTCTAAAGAGTAAGTTATTGCCCGGACCGGTTTGGCTCAGTGGATGAAGCGTCGACCTGCGGAATGAAAGGTCCCGGGTTCGATTCTGGTCAGGGGCGTCCATCTCATCGATGATTCTAACTCTCTATTCCTCTCTCTTCCTCTGTAAACTGTATAAATAAATAAATAAATAAATAAATAAATAAATAAATAGTAAGTTACTGCCACCTGGCTTCCCTGTGGGCTGGCGGGGAGACCCGGCACTTGCTCTCGGCCTCACGACCAGCGGCGGCCTCCAGGCCACAGGCCGGAAAGGAAGCGCGAGGAACGGCCGCCGGTGGGGGCGGCGGCGCGCGCCGAGAACGCGCAGCCCGCAGCGGCGGGGCGCGGGCACCGACACCGGGCGCGGCCCCGCGCCGAGGACGCCCGAGGAGCGCACGCCGCGCCGCGCCCCGCCCCTGCCGGCGCCCCGCTCGCCGGGCCTCGCGCGGACACGCGCCCGGCCCCGCCCCCTGGCCTAAGCGGCCGCGCGCCCCCGGCCCGAGCTGCGGCGAGGGGGGGCCTTACTTGTGAAAAGAAACGGGCTTATCCTTGTGGTACCGGTTCTTGCAGCCGTAGGCGGAACAGGACTGCACCATCCTTCTGGTCCTCAGGCGTCTCACTTCTGCCGCTCCGGCAGGCGGGCGAAGCGGTTACCGATGTCGCCGCTCTCGGCTCTGACACGCTCGCTTCTCCCGTCGCTTTGGCCAACAGTTACAGCGATGATAGCCTCCGTCCGGGGGGCCTAGTGGGCCCGTTTTGTTGTTTGCATTAGCAGAAGGACCACAACCATCCCCCGTCTCCCATCTCCAAGATGGCGGAGGCAGCTTCAACCTCAGCTCTCGCGAGGAGTTCGTCCTGCTCTCTCGGATTAGCGTTGAGGTCAGAAGTAACGCTCTCTAGGAAGCAGGCCATTGGTCGAGGCCCCCGGCGTGTGGTGCGTCGGGCTCTGCGTGGCGGAAGTGGGCGGGCCTTCGGCCTTCCGGAAGGGAGAAAGGAAGTGCTTGCGAGAGGCTGGGAGCAGAGCTGAGCCTAAGTGTAGGGTCAGGCTCTGCGGTCCCTGCTTTTCTCGGGTTAATCTGTCAGGGCGGGTTAGCGGGTTAGCGGGGTCTGCTGGTGTAGAGGAGGACGGGCGTAAAGCTGAGGTCGTTGGGTTATGGCGCCGATTTCCTCAAAAGGGCGGCCGCTGCTCATGATTTTGAGAAACCCAAATTCCATTAACAGTTGAATGTGTAAACTGTGATACAGTCATACAATGGAATACCATATGGCAACCAAAATAAGGAAGCTGTGGCCCATACACTATGGAAGTTTCTTACAAAAGTCAGACAAAATACATTATGTGATTCCATTTTTTTGTAGGTAATAAAGTAGGCAAAACGGAAGCCAGAAGAGGTTACTTTTGGGAGAGGCAATGAAGGGGGCTTATGGGATGGCGGTAATGTGCCTACTGACCGAAGTGATGTTAAACTGTGCTCACTATGGTGGTCAGTGACCTTGATTGATTTATAAAATGTTTGATGTTCTACTTCGATAAAATGGCTTTTAAGCAAACAAGGGCCATATAAGATACGCAAAACTGCCTTTTTTCCGTGTTTTTTTTTTTTTTTTTAAGAGAATGATGTTTATATGTTCATTTGGCCCCTTCAATAAATATGAAAAAAGTGAATATGTCTTATATGACCATTCGAAGGAAAGAATATATAGGGATAAACTGAAGAAGGGTAGTTAGAAGTTTGATATTTTTCAAAGCTTAATTCATTTATTATAACTTAGGTGCACAAATTAGTGCATGGGTGGGATCCCTCTGGGTGGCCTGCAGGATCAAGCAGAACCCCTAGTCCAAGGCCACCTGCAGCTCCTACCTGCCTCTGCTGCTCATCCCAGCCCCACTGTGCCTGGGCTCATGCCCAATCAGTCCCCATCAAGAGGCCGCAGCAGCACTTGTCAGCCATGAGTTCTGCGTCTGCTCCCCCCCCCCCACCGCAAGGGGAGTGGCCTGCGAGACTGGGCTAAAACCTGATCTCCGACATCCCCCGAGGGGGTCCCCTATTGCAAGAGGGCGCAGACCAGGCTAAGGACCGCACAGGTGCATAGGCGGGGGAGGGACTGCTGGAGGGCTCCAGGGCATGTGAGGCCTATCTCAGTCCTGATTGGCCAGACCACAGCAGCAAGCTAGGCTACCAGTTGGGAGTGTCTGCTCCCTGGTGGTCAGTGTACCGTCATAGCGAGCAGTTGACCATCCTTAGCATATCATTAGCATATTACACTTGATTGGTTGTTCAGTTGTTCAGCCGTTAATTCTATTTGCTTATTACCCTTTTATTATATAGGATACTTTTTAAGGGAAAAAATTTAAACACTGACATGTAAAGTAAGTTTTCCCCAGTAGCGGGTGTGCAAGAGGCATCTGATCAATGTTTCTCTCTCATGGATGTTTCTAGCTCTCTAAAAAATCAATTAAATATATTTTTTAAAAAGAGTAAGTTTTGTTACAGTTATTCTAGGATAAACTTTATCTTTTTTGATAAACTGAAGAAAAATAAGCCACTTGTACCGAACCGGTTTGGCTCAGTGGATAGAGCATCGGCCTGCGGACTGAAAGGTCCCGGGTTCGATTCCGGTCAAGGGCATGTACCTTAGTTGCGGGCACATCCCTAGTTGGGGGTGTGCAAGAGGCAGCTGATCGATGTCTCTCTCTTATCGATGTTTCTAACTCTCCCTCTCTTCTTCCTCTCTGTAAAAAATCAATATATTTTTTTTAAAAAGAAAGAAAAATAAGCCACTTGTTTAGACATAGGAGAGTGCAAAAGATGTTTTTAAACTCAATGATATCTAACAATTTAGATTTTAATTTCTATCAACTATGCTTTTTTCCTATAAACCATTTGTATTTCAGAAAATACCTTTGCATTCATCCTCTCTCTGGGCCTCCTTATCTTCATCTATGGAGTAAGGCTGTAGGACAAAATGAAGAATTCTTAATTTGGAATCCACAATGTTCAGGTCTTGAATCCCCTGAAAAGGAATAAAAAGTATACATACATGTGTATACATGCATTTTTTCTAAGGAGCTGCCCATAGCTTTCATCTGATTTTCACAGAAAATATAAACACTAGCCAATTTGTAAGGACCCTTATATCTCTAATATTCTAGGATTAGTGAAACAAGATTAATTTTCACGTAGATATAAATTATAGGTTTTCCCTAAGACTAGAGAGGTGAATATTTTTATCTGAATAGTATATCTTTAGATAGTTTTTAAAATTGTTGTGTTTTTAAACAAATTAAAATCTATTAGATACCAGTGAGTTTAAAACATCTTTAGCCCTTAGCCCTCTCCTACATCCCATATTACATTTCCCTCAAAAAGCCTACAGCTAAATTCCACTAATCCAATAAAGAATAAAGGAAAATATCCAAACATGCTCTGTGTTTTCTGACAGAGTTTACTCCTCTCATGTACCAATCTGGAATATGGGACCAGTCAGAGGGTATGGATGGATGAAGATGACAGTGACGAATAACACCTCAAATTTGCTTGTAGTCAAGGACTCAATGCTTAAAACAAATATGTCATGAAAATGGTCAGGTTCTGACAGAACAACAGAAGCTCAATGATTGTCTATCTCTGTGATTTTCAGCAGCTCTTAAAGCCTAATAGCTTGGTTCTGGAAGACAAGTCTTAGGGCCTTCAAACCTTGAGTGCCCTTTCCTATTCTGACCCAGTCCCAGGTTTATGGATTGCTATTTAGCAAAACAGAAGAGCCTGGAGTACATTTAAGGTTTTATGGAAAAAGGAATGGAACAAGTGTTTTGCAAACATAAGGGCACAGACTCAGAAAAGATCATTTCCGTTATCAAATATACACTCCAAAGAAAGGGGTGGGAAATCAGGATACAAACCTAATCTATAATTTCAATTGTACCCTTCTTGTCCAGAATTAATATAGATTACCCAGATTAAGCAGTTTTCCTCATAAACAAAAACACTTCTACTTTTTAAATTTAAAAACATCTAAGGAAAATTTATTAGAAATGTGTTGAGGTACTGAATGTCCACAAATGAAAAAGAAAGTCATTGTGAACATTACATTGAATGCTATTTCAGGAGTTCTGAATTTTAAAGCAAACTATAAAGGAAACAGAAAATACCAGCTACTTTTAAATTTTAGATGTATTGTTTTTATTCAAAAGAGTAAGTGTCTGACAAATTCTGAAATCACCAAGTTTGAACCAAACCGTCAACCCTCTGTAACAACTCTGTGAGGTAGATAGGAAGAAGGGGACTAATACAGTCCTTTCTTCCCCTGTTGCTTTCAGATGCTGGGAGCTGAAGCCACTGTGCTAGTGGGCAGCGAAGACAGTTGTTCCCTCAGTCTTGTTTCCATAGACCTACCCAAGTTACCTGCTCCTGGGGGGTAGGGCCATATTTTTGTGAAAGTTACAATATTGTTATTTACAAAAATTCAAATTGTTGCTTTGATTTATATGATCTCTGAATTATAGAAATATTACTATGTTTAAAACACTGATTGACTCTACTTGCTCTAAGTATTTTTCTCAGCATCTACATTTATTACCAGTGATCAATACAGATGACATAATAAGCAGTTTAAAGTTCTAAGCTATCCTACTCCAGTGTGTTCCAAAAGACTCCCAATGACCCCGGTGTCTCTCCAGCTTCAGGCCTTGGTAATAACCTTCACATTTATCTGAACCCACGCCGGAGTCCTAGTGAGTCTAATACCAGTTCAGTCACTTATTTGTGCATGGCTTCAGTCGAAAAACCTGCCATCTGTAATAGGGATTTCATCTGTAAAAAGACAGACAACGCCCTGCCTTATTCACATGCTGTCTTAAGGATAAAATGAAAAATATATGAGAAATTGCTTAAATTATAATGTGCTGTATTTAAGCAGCATTATTTTTCCCTTTGACAAGCAATAGTTTTGTCCTGGGCCCAAATTAGAAAACACTATTATTGACGTTTTATTCAGAATCTTATTAGTTAATGGGTAGATTAATTTGGGAGACAGTGACAGATTTTACTGGCCTATCTATACACGGTGAGGCTCACTAATACCTGAGTGGACAGTGTGACTGCAGGTGACAGAGCTAACACCCTGGGGCACCAGCACCACTCTGCTGTCCAGTTTGCTAATGAGCAGTGCCAGCTGAGGGAGCTGAGATTTCATAATACTTGTGGTTTTGGTTCTCCTCAAACAGAAAAATGCAGAAGAGAGCGTTTGATACTGATGCTGGAGCCATTAAATAAACCAAGATAACTTTCCAATTGAACCACCTCTGACATTTGCTCATTCTTCCTTAGACTCGATGAATCTGGGCTATCTGCTGCCCTCTAGGGTCAGTATTGCAAGTTTTCTGTCAAGAGAATATCAAATTTGTCCATTCTGTTACTATAGTCCCCAGTCAGTTGTCAGATTTAAGGTCTACTCTCCTAAGGACTTTAATGCTCAAGCCATGAAGAACCACTTTCCTCAAAAATGCATCAAACTATTATGTGTTTACAGTACCACCCAGGTTCCTGAAAAAAAAAAAAATTCCCTTTATGAGTTCCTTTGATACACTGTTCCT